AGATTTTCCACATTTTCCACAAGCACTCAAAACATTTAAAAGAATCACTTTCTATACTAGTTTATTCTTTTAGGTTTGAATAATTTTTGAATATGAATCTTTTCCCTTTCTGAGTTTTAAAATGTTTAAAAACATTTTTTTAAACCAAAATGCCTTTTCATCCTTTTGCATTGGGACCAAACACACTTTTGTATTGTTCAAACCCCAAGCTAGAACACGCGGGATTATCTCAGGGAGCCCACAGCATGTCATGACGCTAAATCCTTCCTACTGTCTCTGAAGCATTGTAGCTTCTCTCCAGCTAATCCAGATGTGATACAAGACGTACTCAAGCATCATATTAGGCAACAAGCTGGCAGACTTTCCTGTATTGTTCCACTACAAATTCTTTTACCCTCAAGAGAATTGGCAACTATTGTTTTACATGATTTTTATGATTACAAAACACTTGAAAATAGATTCTCTTGCCTTCAAAGTAATTCGAGCATTGTAAATGTTTTTAATATAGTTGAGCTGCCATCATCTGAACTCAGACGTACAACCTAATCTATCTGGGAGCTAACAGCGCACTTGAAAGCTCTCTACTGTTGTCCTGTAATTACGTAGCACCCCAAAGTTAAGGCTAGGAATTACTCATTAGATCAGGTTCTATTTCTGCCAGATTTCCAACTGTTTACCTGTGTGAACTTTTTTAAAAAATAATTTTATCTAGAATATACATTAGAATAATTACCCAGTATCACTCAAAAGTGTGTGAAGTGTCTGTATTTTATAACTTGATAGCAATAAAATACCTAGAATCCTAAAATAATTTTTCTAGATTTCGAAGTGTCTAAAAAATTACAAGCTGATAACTTTGTCAAATCTTACCCAAATGATTATGTGTAAAATACAAAAGTCAGATCTGAGCTAAATTTCTCCAATCAAATAGAAAAAGATGGGATGAGCACGAAAAGTTATAATCTCAAAATACAAGTCTGGAAAACAGAAGTTTCCTTTTTTCAACAAACTTAACAGTGAACGCATATGAAGGATACTAAAATGTTATCTTGCCAATTGTTCTTGTACACATAAATATTTCAAGGAAGTTACTTTTAATTACAAGTAAATGTATTTTCATGGTCTGAAATCTGCCATGTAAATTATTTTGAGCTACAGTAGTTAGAAGAACTTGTTACAAAAGATTCATAAAATAAAACATGATAGACTATGACTGGAAGGCATAAAATTTAATGATATATTCAAAGCTACAAGCTTCTATAAAGAAGTCTTTGCAATTTCTCAATGGGAAAAGCAGATCTTACGTAGAAAAATCAAATAGCCAAAGGTTTTAGTCAGTTGCCCGTATAGAAGCCCCTCTGCTTACATTAACTAGTGTGCTTTGTATATCTAGCATTGGAAGATGTTTTTAAAAAGGTTTTATTACCTTTCTTGATTTTTTTGGTAGCATTTATTCAGGGTGAAACATACTTTATAACATTATGAAACTATCCTGGTGATTATTTTTTCATCTCTCTTGATTTTTTTTTATTGAAATATAGTCAATTTAGTTTGTGGTGTACTGCATAGTGATTCCGTTATACGTATACATATTCCTTTTCATATTATTTTTCATTATAGGCTATTACAAGATATTGAATATAGTTCCTTGTGTTATACAGTAGGATCTTGTTGTTTATTTTATAAACATAGTAGCTAGTACCTGCAAATCCCCAACTCTCAGTTTATCCCTCTCCTACTCTTTCATGCCTGGTAACCACAAGTTTATTTTCTATGTCTGTGTGTCTGTGAGTCTGTTTCTGTTCTGTAAATAAATTAATTTGTGTCAGTTTTTGGATTCTACATATAAGTGATATATGGTATTTGTCTTTCTCTTTCTGGCTTACTTCACATAGTATGACAATTTTCAATATTATTTAGTGACATTTGTTTTTTCTTCCACCATGAACTATTCCAAATATATTGATAAGAATAAGAAATTATTATAAAAAACAAGAAATTATTATAATGAATCCCACTGTATCAGTTACCTAATTCCAACCATTATTAATTCATGGACTGGCAATTTTGTATCCTATAAAACCCACCCACATTTTCCCTAACAGATTATTAACAAAGTGTGATTTACCAGTTTCATGCAGTAGAGGCTCATTTACCAAACAATAGAATTTAAGCCTTAGGTTCATTTGCATCTATATAATAATAACATATAAATGTAACAAAATAAAATAACAATATAACATATGAGTACACTGTATCATTACATTATTAATACATTATTAATCATAAATAATACAAAAGTTAATAAAAATATAATAACATACCATGATAAAACTTTTATATTAAATAAGCATCTGGACATATTTTATGCCTTGTAAACTTGCTACTACTTGGGGCTAGAGTAGTAATATCAGCTGTTCTGCCAAATTCCTCTGACTATTTTAGGAAGAAATAACATACGTGTCGCAGCTCTTCAAGATTTCAGGTTATTCTCAATTTCTCTCATTATCTCTGGAAATTTTTACTACTTTCATAGTAAGTTTCAAAATGGCTGTTTTTAAAGTATGTTGCTCTCACATGAAAATATGGTCGGAGAATTAAACTCTAAAAAGAAACATGAGCTAGAAATCAACACTAATGAATCTCTGTCTCTGTCTGTCTGTCTCTCTCACACACATACACCTCACACATACAATTTTGAGTATTTGGAAGTTAAGAGCTTGCCAACAAGTAATTTACACATATTTTAACTAAGCAGCTGAACTGACTTGTAAGAGCCAATGGTCTTTTGTGTAATCAAAAGTAAAATGGCAGACAAACAAACCAAAAACTGGTTCCAAGAAGGAAGACATGTTTTTCGACACTTGCTGAGCAGCCTTCCCCGGAGGTGCTGCGCCATCACCCAGGCCAATGTCTGTGCCAGTGGATGAGCACCCGCCTTGCGGGAAGGGATATTGGCGTAATCAGTTCTCCTGCCAGTGGCGCACAGTCTAATTCTGACATGATTGCTTGGCTAATAACACAGGTCTCCTGGGAGCATAAAAGCATCAGATTTTCCCAGCACTCACTGAACAGAAAAGTGTGGTGCCTTTCCCCTCGAAAACAAAAGCCCAGTCAAAACAACCACCACACACACCACTGAGCTTTGCCAAAAGCCTTTTTTGTGATTTTGCTTTCGTGATGTTCACACCTACGGGAAATACTTTGCCAATTACAATTCAGAGCTTTCTTCTGTAAATACTTTAATAAAACGGATGGCTCAGGAAGAACCTTGTTTCTCTTTAGCACTCAATCGTACAGCTGTCACAGATACACTGACTCAAGCAACCAGTTTCTCAGTATCAACATATGCTCAGAATTGATAAGATATATTTTTATATCTTTCTTATGATATATGATATATGATATGATTTTATATCTTTTCTTATGATAAGATATATATTTCACCAGAAAAACAAAGAATGTTTCAAATAAAACAAAATAAATGAACATCCAATAATAAAATTAATAATAATAATAATTCAAATGCAAAGCAATTGTCAATCAAGTCCCAAACTCACAGAACACATGGCCATCTCTTCCTGGACAATTTGTAAGCCAGGCAATTGTGCAACTCAGTGTTTTACACTAGTTTTACCCCATTTATAGAATGATGTAGGGTTTTCCATAATTCCTATTTGCTACTTACTAAGACTGATCAATGTCTAGTTTGCTATCTTATGATCCTTCCCAGAGTCCTTCACCATCACATTTTTTTTTCCAACCTACATCATTACTTCCTGGGAAGAGAAGGGTTCTCACTCATGGCACACGGCGCAGCCTGCTCACCCCACACCATGTCCTGCCTTGAAGTTCTCTCTTCAACTCACCTTCATTTAAGTTTACCTACTGACTCATTTTCTACAGCATTGTTTTTAGCTCATTGTCACACAGGGATAATCTAGAAGTCTCATTCACTTTAAATGTTGGTAGTGGAGAGGAATTTGTTTGTCATCCCAGCACACAGACCCTAGGAGATTTGCATTTTAATAGAAGACAATTCTTTCATAACTCAAAGGAATGGAGTATCTCTAATGGTGGAGTTTCAAGCATTACTGATACTAGTGGAGGAAATATTTGGGGTAAAAACACTTATACCAAACCATAATACTTGAGATGACTCTCTTTTTCACCTAGACTTTTAACCTGAAAAAAAGCCAGAATTCCTGTTTGAACAAGAATGAAAGCAGAACAAAATTTAAAGCAAAAATCTAAGCTGTTGAACAACACTGTTTCTTAGTGGAATGTATTATTATCTTTGCAATCTTTGCTTCTTTGCAAAGTGAAGTTATTGTACAATGTAGCTCTTCTCAATTTCATTATGTCTTTATCAAGTTGGCCTTAAAGTTCTCAGCTTCACTAAACTTACACAGGTATCTTCCTGACCTTAGACTCCCAATCTCCTCTTCTTAGACCACATTAGAGAACTTGTAATTGTAAATTCTTCCTCTGCTCTTTCAAGATATAAATCTTCTTAAAAACCTCTTTCCAGTTTTACAGCCCATGAGTGCCATCCCTTTGAAATGTAATCCTCAAGAAAGATAGTACCTCCGTCTCCCACTTTCTGTAGGAGGGTAAGAACTTAACTCCCTTGGGTGCCTTGCTCCATGCTGTAAAACTACACTGCTGACGTGAAAATAAAAGAAAATTTACTCCCTTTTTGAGATGAAGATGGTCTACAATCCCCCAACCCCACACCAGCTCTTAAAAACTTTCCTGTTTGTGGTTTCAGTGAAATTGAGTTCAGAATGGGTTCTGGTCTCTCTCTCCTATTGCAATAGCCTTGAATAACTTCTTTCCTTGTTTAATTCTGTCCAGTGCAATTTTTGCTTTGACAGCCTGTTCATGGACAGATTTATGTACCTAGATTCAATTTGTTTACATTGCCCCCAAGATTCCTTCATTAAACAAATATCCTGAACACAATCTGACTAAGGAAGCAAAGAAAGTAAGGACAATACCTTTTTTCTTCACATCCACGACAGTTTCCTTCTCAGGTTTCTTTTTGACATCTTCTTTTTCTGGTGGTAAAATGAGAAAACTATAAGCATCTGTTTAATTCTCATGTATTTCAGACACATATGACTGCCATTAACATCCAACTCATCTTGTATAGAGTGATCCTAAATCTGAGCTGTAGTCCTGTCAAATATGAGTGAACCAGCACTTCTGTAACAGACCTGTAGTTTTTGTGTGCTTTGTCTTCAGGAAGAAAGCAAGTTTTTGCTAAGGTCAAAAAACTCTCATGACAAAGCGACATTAGATGGCATTATTAATTATGGTATAATTCAATCATTTTTCTAAAGGACATTAAAAATAATATATGTTCCCTGGGCTATCAGCTCACTGCAAACATGTCAGAAGCTCAGAAATCTCCTGGGCTTACTTGGGACTTCAAATGTACTATTTGAAAACAACCAGCTAAACAGAACAAAACAGCAAACCAATCAGCCAGTTTCTTTCCCATACATTCAATGATTTACTCTTTTGATAGACAATTTTATTAAACTAAATTAATTGGATAGTAATCTTCATATTCATATATGTAATCAAATAAATAATGAATTAGAAAGAATTGAGCACCACTCCTAAGAAAGAAAAAAAAATAATCAGTAACAAATTTTTTTAAATGTTTAGGCTTGAATTGTCTGTTAAAAATTCATCAATTTCAAGTTTATTTGGAATATTTATAAATCTCAAGACTGTTTGTTAATAACAATAACAGTAAAATCATTAAGGGACTTTCCGTCCTAGAAAAAAACAGCTTTACCAGTAGCACTATGAAAGGACACTAATTGATTTATGTGTTAGTTTTTAAATTCTTACCTTTCTTTTTCATTTCAGGAGTCACTTTCTTCTCAGCTTTCTGCTTTTCTCCTTCTTTTTCTAGAAAAGAAGTTTAAAATATTTCCTTTAGCAAAATTTAGTATAAAAGGAAAATCAAGTTTTGAATGAAGGATTACTGTTAAGTCAATTCTGCCTCCAGATGGTTTTGTGACTTTGAGCAAGTGATTTAATCTCACTAAGCCTTATTCTTCTCATTTGTAAAATAATAGTACTTCCTTCAAAATTAGATTGTGTTTATCAAACATTCTGCATGGTGCCTGGCTCACAATTAGTACATACCATTGTGGGCTGTTAATATTGTTTACAAATAATAAACAAGATAGTTTGAGCTTTTCGAAACAATTGTTTGTCTAGTGCCTAAAGTAAGATATTAACACAGAAAATTAAAATATAATTTCTAAAGAAAGATACTACAGGTAAGCTAGAAGAATTATTTTTGGTTTTCTTTCCTTATGTTCAGTTTCATTAGAAATAATACACTAAGCCATTAACAATATCTAATTTGATTTTAGCTGTTTTTCAAATCTGCTTCTTGTCAACAGACATTTGGAGTCTGGTGACATTTGTCTGGCATGCATTGGGAACGTAATTTCCATGCCCTTTTTGAGTGGTTGTATCAACCAGCATGCTCAGGCTATCTTTGCATTCAGAGGTTGCAGTAAGTCTGGATGACACTTAGAGCAGTTTGTGGTGCCTCTAGACTTCTTTCCGGAAGATTTCTGTTTCAGAGATCTGAGAACCTTGGTCTAAGAGACAGGGGGAACCTCAAATGCTGCCCAGCCATAGCCATGTACAATTAGACATCCCTGGACGCTTTTCTGGTAAGTGTTCTCATTTTAAGTAACAAAGTCATGTAGAAGTACACAGTGGATGAAATGGAATATTCAGTACTTTCAGGTTTGAGAAAGCTATAGGTACAGTTAATGTTGGAAATCAATTGATTTTTAATCTTCAAAGAGAAAGGTATTTCCAATATAAGTTACCAATATAAGTTACCTTATATTGGAAATACTTTTCTCAGTCATTTGTCTCTCCATTTCAAGTATAGATGCAAAACATTCAAAGATGCTCATCACCCCGAACTAGCATGAGATTGTTACTATGCTGAAGAAATTCAATGTGTAGCTTTAGTATGAACGCTTAAGTTGCCTACTAATGACTGCATCTTATTAAATATTGGAATTAATTCGTTCCCTTAGGTATAGAGATTTTTTACCTACAAGATCAAAGACAACACTTTTTTTCAGTGTTGGAAGTGTAATTCATAAAGAACCACTATTCATGACTCTTAGAGACAAGTTAGTGTTGTAGGGAGAAATATATTCACACTCTGTCCAAGTGTGTCTACAGTGTACTGTTACAGCTCATCCAATCAGAAGGAGAAAGTCAAGAAGTCAGATTTTGATAATTTCAGAGTTAGAAATAAACCAATTGAATTCTCCTTTGCCATTTCCTAAAGGTTTATACATATTAAATATGCAAATCATGTTTAAAATTCTGAATAAAGATACTTTTGATTTAAGTTTCATTACTTTCAACTTCTCTGGAAGAAATTTTACAGAGCAGAGAATTTTTCCATCTTATCTGAATAAATGCATATGGCAGACAATTGAATTGGCATTTGCTAAACATCACCATCTGATATTATGTGCCAGACAAGGAGTTCATTAAAATACAAATTACTTGTAAATATTTCCTAGTCTATATTAAAAAAAATGGCTTAGTCACGATAAGATCACAACCTAGTATCCAAGTTTCTAAGTTTCATAATGTACATGAATAAGTATTTCATTTAAAAAGTTTGTGCCAATTATAATGGTAATCTTATACCAAGTTTCAGAATGAAAGTAGCTATTTGAGGACATAAGATGGAAGACAATCTCATTTTTTTTAGAGAATTGTCTTGTGCAATAAATTCTACCCTTTATATTAATATAGCTGGGATTTTATTGTGGTGATACAGCATTCTTGCCTTAGTTCAGATTGATTAATGCTCCCATTATACACTCTGCCAGTGCTTATGGCCATACACTGAAAGAGTCATGAATAAGAACAGAAATCCACAAAAAGCAGGTATAAATAATGTACTTGAATAACATTTTTATGAATTAGACCTTTAAACTGTCATTATGGACTTACTTTATTCATGTTTAATTCATTTAAAACATCACCTTCTGAAGATCCCTGCATTTCTCCAAGCCTGTTGTCTCTGTTCTATAGGTGATTTGGCTGCAGTGAAATTAGGTTTTTCATTTACAAAAGACACAGCAATTTAATTATATCCTACTTGGATTTAAAAGTAACCCATGTTTCCTGTATGAAAACTCTGCTTCCCTTGACTTTTTTCTCCTTCGACAGTCAACAGTACTCCCCTTTCCACCTTTCCACCTTTGCACCCACGTATTCAATTTCTTCTTCATCTTCTCCTCCAATTTGGTTGCTGTTTTGTTTGTAACATCTAAAGAGGAGTTAGAACATTTTATACCATGAGTTTTCAGACGGTTTGCAATTAAGTGTGTCTATAGCACGTGATCTTATCAGCCAGCGTATTGCCTTTCTCTGAGAAAAGTGTCATGAGCCCAGAGATGATGGCTCTGTCTGGCAGGGATCACTGGAAAGCCTGGCTGAGAGAGAAACTCTCTCCACAATGAACAGCTCTGAGCCACAAATATGTTATTAGCTTCCACATAAATTAACATCAGATGAAAGAAAAATTAAAAATGACTTACTTTTTACTTTCTAAGCCCTTACAATGGGCTTTTCTCTTGCTTTTAAATGTTTCTATGCCATCTCAAAGCCAGAGAATGCACAATAGTTAATTATAATTGTAACGCTTTTCAAGATGCCTGCTCCTAGCAAAACGAGCAAACAAATGCAAATGCTTCGCTTTCATCTTAGATTTTGTTCCTCCCCTTTTTGCTTTGCTAGCGTAGAGATTACACAAATTTGGCATGTCGGATGGAGGCTTTTCTTCTGACTCTCTATGGCCAGGACTGATGTATTCTTGGTCCCAGTCAAGAAAATAGGGATGTGTTTCTTTCGTAACAATGCATTCCAACATACCTTATCACTGTCACCTTGTTTCTTTAGAGTGGCGGAGGTTGGCCTGGAACCCCAGTCACAGTATGATCATGGGAAATTTCACATAGACAGATAAGTTCAATTATATCAGTGATTGTTGGAGTTCTCCGTTGTTATCTACAGAGGGGAATGGGGCAAGAGGGAAAGCACGGGTCTAGCATGGGTGACCTTGTCTGAATTCTGTCTCTGACTCCTGTTTGTGTGACATTGGCGATGAGCTGTGACACTCTGAATTTCGTTTTTCTCATTTGAAAAACGGGACTAGTAAAATCTACCTTGCTGGTTTATTGTGAGGAATGAAGAAACTGAGCTAAATTGCCTGAACCAGAGTGGATGTTCAAAAAACTAATATAGCAACCACTTGCTATTAGCATATTCTAAAAACAATGAAACTCTGACCACATGTAATCTTCAGTGATTTGCCTAAGTGTGATGTTTATTGATCTGAGTAAATGCACATTCAGTCTTATTTTTCTACATTGAAGGAGGCTGTATCAGAAATATTTTACATTGTGAAACTCTAAGAAAAAATACTCAAGTAGGAATTAACATGTTATGAAGGGGCACGGTGCTGGAATGAAGAAGCACAGTCCAGTTTCAGTTTTACTATAATTAGTAGTTTTTGCCTCCTGCAACTCTAAAGCAAATCGCCTGTCTTCAACCATAAAAGGCAGGGGAATGAGTAGAATGTATTTAAGTTCTCCTTCACCTGTCTGTTCCTTCATTCCAAAGGAAGTATGCATCAGCTTGCATTTATTTCCTAATTTTGCTGGGAACCTTTAACTTAAAAAGCTTTAAATTTGTAAATGGCTCTTATATGTTCTCTGGCTTTGCTAGGGCTGAAAAGCTTTGAAAGCCAGAGAAAGGTTCATTTTTATCTTAAAAATGAATATGTGTATATGTATTCATGGACATATGAATATGTATATATGTGTATATAATGTCAGGTGATGATAAGGTTGGGGGGGTGAAGAAAGCTTGATTTAGAGGATTAAAGTATGGGGAGATGGGGAGTGGCAATTTTTTTTTTTAAGGTGGAACAGAGGTAAATCTTTTTGAATGTGTAACATTTGAAAAGATCCTTGGAAAAAAGTAGAAGAGCTTTAGGTTCTTGAGGAGAAGAATTTTCCTGCAGAGGAGAAATATCTGCCAAGTCCTTGAAACAGGAGCATTCTAGATATATTCAAAGGAAAGTGTGGAGACCAATGTGGCTGAAGCAGAGGGTGCAGAAGGAGCCTGGTTAAAAGCTGTGGCCAGAGATGTAGTGGGGGTGGATCACAGAGAATCTCTCTGTGGCATGAATTGTCCATTTTACTGTGAGATAGGAGGCTACTGAGAGGTCTCAGGCAGGGAAATTATATTAAGATAAGTTACGTTTTCAGAGGGGCTTTGGCTGTTGCTGGGTGGTTGGTGTCAAGTGCTCCATTGGATTTTGTGATCATATTGCAATGCAGAAGATTAAGAAAGTACAAGGATCCAGTACAAATATTTTTCTTAGTTTTTTTTAATCCTCCCCTCCCCCAACAATTTCCTCTAAATTTTATTTGGGACTCTTGATGGAATGAAACATTATAGAAACATGATTGGAGTATATCATTTTACATGGTAATTAAGTTACTATACCAGCAATGGTCTTCAGTGAAGGATTTCACTTGAAATATCCAGCATAACCCAACTGGCCTTTCAGAATCTGAATCCACTGTCTTTGCCTTGACTTTTCCTTTAGTGGTTGCTGAATTAGTCTTAGAAGCCAACTGGTCTCTTATCAGCTACTAATAATTCACAACCAGCAAGCAATGTATAGCATCTTTCAGCAACTATTCAGACTCCTACATAAACAGTTTATTCACGTAATCAACAAATGTTTATTATGTCAAACCCTTTGCCAGGGTCTAGAGTGTTGAAACGATTCCATCCAGGAACTTTAGATATGAGAGTAAGAGGGGATAAAGTTTACAATTATGATACAGACTTGGGGCATTACGAGCAAGTCTTAAGGAGGAAGCAAAGAGGCCCAAACCCAAGAGCACCAAGTGGAAGTGTGGCAGCTGCTCCAGGGAAAAACGGTATGTGAATTCTGAACTGAGTACGGCAAGTGTTACTCTCGATGCTAGCTGTAGGAAACGAGGTGCCTGCTGAGTGCCCGCTCCTGTCCTACAGACAAAAGCTGTCAACTCTGAGTGATACAACACCATTCTCAAGTCAATGTTCCAAAGGACTCCAGATCAAGTCAGTGTAAATCCAGACTTTTTCAAGATATCAGATTACATATAATTCTTCTTTAAGCTTCAGAAATGATTGTGAAGAAGTGATCTTCACAATCATATAAACAATTATATGGTCAGAGCAAGGTAAAAAAAAGTAAGTTTGGATGAGTTGAACCACACTGATTTCCAGGTATTAAGAAATTATACTATAATAGAATTCTATAATAGAATAAAGGACATGATCTTACATGCATTAGCATAAACTTAGTTCTCCTACTAAAGTCTATGCATCCTTTAATCCATGAGAAAATGGTCCTAGGAAAGATGAGTAACCTCCCCCAAGTTCACAAATCACCTAAATGACAGAACAAGGATTTAAAACTAAGCAAACTCTGTCCTTTCCTCTGCAATATGGAATGGGAAGCTTGAGACAGACTTATTTTATCAAAAACTTGCAAATCAACCAGGGCATGAACAGAAAAGAAGTGTTGACTTCTACCTCATCTTTGTGAAACTTATCTTTCAGCTCCCTC